GGGATGCGAAAATATTGTATCCGATATTTCCTACTCTTCATTGTCATTTCAGTACTATCGGGGTGTCGTATTTAATCGCTGAGGAAAGGATGGTGCTAATTTGCATGAGAGAAGCTTGTCACATAATTTTTCCCGTCTCAGGCCTGCTGTATGCTCTTTACTGGTCGGCACCGCATGAAGACTACTATGTACCTCCCGCGGATAGTCGTAGATCCTCAGCTCCGTCCACCCGCCCGACAACAGACTTTTAAAGATTCCCAGAAAAGAACAATTCTGGGGACAAGGTGAATATGGCGCAGCGGTTGTGAAAGAGTGGCGAGACCATCCCTTGGGAACCCTATTGAAAATGCCTCTTCAGGCATCCCAAAGATGTGCCTCGTACGGAGAACAGTCTGTGTAAAAAGATCACTGAAGGGGCAGAGGGCGCAGGGCTGGTGCATGGGCATCACCAGAAGTTCTAACACGCATATACCTCTTCTCTGGCTTTATAATCCGGTAAAACTCCGGCGCAGTTACAAAACCCATTGATCACAATGTGAAGGTTTCCGTTTTTGTACTAGTACTGATAGGTTCTGAATCACACACTCTACCCCCAGAGTTGCTCTCGGACCATAGGAACCAGCACAGGAATCTCAGTAAACGACAAGTTTTTGACTAACGCAAACAGCTGGCGCAAAGTGTGTTTGTCTGCAACACTTGAAGAAAGAAAAAAAAGAAAAGAAGGACATAATAAAGAGCGAAAATTGGTTGTTTACAGAGAGGAAAGAATATAATTTTTTTTCTGCAGATGACGAATGACGAGCTCTATCAAAAGATTTTGTTGTACATATTATGAACGTATAGTGTACAGTTTTGTTCGCTGTCTATGATGAAACATGTCAGGGAGGAATAGGTTCGGCGCGGTGCCTGCTGATGCTTAATTCCGTTTTTTCCCTTTCAACAAGCGACGAGACTGAATTGTATGTTCGTACCAGTCGCTTTTCACCACCACTTGTTCTCGCTTACCCTCTTCAGGAACTGGTGGAGCACGGTGCGCTAAACCAAGCCTCACTGACACGCCCCTCAACCCGCAGCGAACAAGACTGTAGTTGTGTGACATTTTCAAAACTCACCTCTGGATATTTCTTTGAATGTATGTATTCCTTCAAAGCTCTTGGAAAGAATCGTTCGTAACCCTCATTCACACTATAAATCTTTCCTTTTTCTGGAATCTTCATTTTCGGATGCGTCAATATGAACTCTCCGATGCTCTAGAATAGTGTCATTGTATCATAGGAATTCTAGTATATTGGTGGAACTCACTGGATCGAGCATGAATCCGTTCACATGGCGTCCAGTGCAAAGCACCACCATCGTGGCGGAACCATATAAACAGTAACCAGCTGCGACCATAGTCCTGAATTCATTGCTACTCACTGTGGGGACAGTAACAACAAGTATAAAGGCTAGTTTGACACGATCCTTTATTTCGGGTCAATTCTGATTTCCTCTGTACTTTTTCGACTCCATGGCGTCTATGACCAGTGTGACCTGCCACACTCTAACTTCCACGAGTGGTAAGTGACTCACCACACCACCTCTGCCTCGGCGGAAGCCGCCCACCTTCGCTACATTTCTTCGCAAATTCTTTGCAGCATTTGATTCATGCACAAAAGTTCAAGTGGCCCGGTTACAGTGGGTATTTTCTGCATGTGGTCACAGGGCGCGGCCAGGGCTAAGTACTATCGTAAGCATGTGGAAAGATTTACTTCATTCCAAGTCACACCCACCTTGGAGAAAAAGCAAACAATAAGAACTTTACCAAATCCAAACAAGGCCTCCCCCAATGTGGACCCCACGACGCTGAGGTACACTGGTCGCGTCTCACCTTCCAGACTGCAACAGATCCTTATCCGTAACCTCTCCATCACTTTGTTTCTTCCAAATACCGAAGATCGTTCCTGAAAGCTACAAAATAATTCTTAAATATAAAACGGTCATGTACTGCATAGAATTATATAGATTACCTATGGATACCAAGCAGTCAATATTGGATGAGCCATCTAGTGGATCGAAGGTGACGATATATTTACCTTGCTTTGGGAACTTCGACCTCAACCAACTGAAAAGGGTAGTTACTACTTCTTTTACGAGCTGCACCACATCATAATATTAGGTTGTCCGGAAAGGAATGCGCGTTGAATTTTTTGAACTTGTCCATTTTTTCTCTCCTACTATAGAAGATTTTTGGAGACAGTTTTGTCTATTAGAAAGAGATTTTTATTGTGCTTCTTTTGATATATTTTTGTCCATGTCTACTTTGCTTTTTTTGGGGAAAAAAGTTGGGAAGAGCGGGTGCCGCACCAGCTGAGCGACGCAAACAAGGCAACACGAGTGGCAATGGCCGGAATTCTTCTTCGTCGCTCCAAGAACAGCGGTTTTTTCGACTCTATTATTACATCAAATGAGAAAAGGGTCTGCTTCGATAACGCAACGAGAAAAGGACAGTGGTTAGACTCCAGTGACCCTCCAAAACGGACTCCGAAACCTGATATACGCGGCAAAAAGGTGATGCTCCGTGTTTGGTGGAATAGCAAAGGTTTGATGTACTTTGAAGTTCCGGAATCGGGTCAGACGGTTACGGCGGACATCTGCAAACACCAATTGAACCGCATGGATCCAGCACTGCGTCTTCAAAGTGTCGAAACGACGTCGACAAAATTTATCCACGACAACGCTCATCCACATGTGGCGAAAATCACTCTAGAAAAAAATTGAGGAATTGGGCTGGAAAGTCCTGCCTCATCCGCCACACAGATCAGACCTGGCACCATCGATTACCATCTGTTCCGGTCGATGCAGAACTCCCTGGCCGAGAGAAAATTCACAAACCGCGAAAAAGGTCCAACTCTGGGTGTCCAACTTCTTTGAGTCGCAGCCGGTCGAGTTCTTCAGAAGAGGAATCCATTTTTTGCATAAATGTTGACAACAAGTCATTGATACTAATGGAGATTGTCTTTTGAATTTATCTTGTTTAATTTCGTTTTTATAATAAAAATTTTTTAAGCTCGAACGCGCATTCCTTTCCGGACAACCTAATAGTTACTCCAACTGCAAGGAAGACAACTAAACGGGTGAGTCACTCCCACATCTCCCTTGCTGTTCACAAGAAGTGACAGGCATTCCTCACGAGAGCTGACAAGTGGTCTCTACAAATTTTGACTGGTATGACTGGTACCACTGCATGGCTTCACAAAATCTCATGAATATCTGCTTGATGGCTCTACGGGACGACGAGAAGTAGCGAACGAAACGACTTCCCACCAGGCCAAACTGCGCCGACTTTCGTTCGTAGACAAGCAGATTACTCTCACAATTACCATGCTGACATGAAGGAGAGCTCAAGGATCACATGTGAAAGTCACTCACATTCTCATTCTCTTCGGACACCATCGCACAGCAAGTGTAAGATGACTTTATCATATTTATCATAAGCTCGTTGCTGAGCACATCCAACTTTTTAACCTAAAATGAAACCTTAATTATCCTTTCTATTTCATGGTGTAGTAACTAAAAAAATCAAGAGTTTTAAATATATGTCAAAACACAAAACCTCTTCGCCTTGAACGTTAGTGTTTCCGGCTATACCGTACAGACGTGCCAAACCAGCTTTGCGTACAGAACTTGAAATGGCCTGAAATTCACAATTTTTTCATCTCGCCTACTTACCAGATACATTTTTGCCACCTGTTGATCGGATAAGCTGTATCTGCAGCCTGCGGCGGTCATTAAAAGGCAGTGGGTGATCAAGGGTGGAGGGTGGCGTGGAGATAAGAAGCGAAAATGGGCCAAGTCCCGGATAGGCTTCCGCGCAAGCCAAATTAGACAAACCTTACATACTTTCAGGCTCGAATGACTAAATAGTATTGGCAGCAAGCTACTGTAAAAGGTTGAAAGCACCAACGTGTACATGGCTCGGTCTTTGGAACTCATTGTATAGGCTAAATCGCAGTCAGTGCGCCACTGTCATTCCGCAAAGAGGTGGGATTTGTAGAGCAGTTCAGAGAGGAAATGAGGTCTTTGTCCTTCTCTCGTGAGCATGGTCGCTGGATTTCCCGACTAGCCTCACAGAAGCTTGCTCCACAGTACCACGCGATTTAAATTCCTGACGGAAAAGGTGTGTCCTGCAAGGCACTGATAATGCGAAAAACCTGAAAGAAAAGGCCTATGAAAAAGGCGCTGGCTGCTTGAGATCCGTAGCGGATTCTCATGGAATCTTGTACTTTTTGTCTTATCTTAATGTCGCCGCCTCATGTCAGTGAAGGCTGATCGAAGTTTTTCGGAGCAGCTTCCGACAGAGGAGCACGAGAGCTTGTGAAGGGTGCTCTTTCAAGGTAGGTGCCAAAAATGAGCTGTTTATACACTTTATGTATTTCAGTACATCATGTCTAAATGTGTACGCTTTGGCGTATTATTGATATTAGGTTTGTCCTCCGGAAAGTTCTGCACGTTTTGTGTTACTATTTTTTGAACACATTCATTGCTGATTAGAAACTCACTCTCCCTTGCGTCTCAGTAGTACATCCTGAAGAGATCTTTGCGCTATCTGATGGTGAACTGCCGTTTCACCATTGCTTGATGAACCCCCTTTTTTAAGATTTTTTTCAAGCATGTGAAAAGAGCACTTCGGACGATTTTTTTCTCACTAAATTGGGGCAATCCGCAATCGAAACAGCTCAACAAATTAACCAGGTGTGGGGGCCCAGTAGTGCTAGAGAAAGCACTGTGCGGCAATGGTTCAACAAATTTCGTTCTGGAGATTTCAGCCTTGAAGATGAACCTCATAGCGGTCGACCTAAAGCAATATCTGACGAGGATTTTAAGGGGATTTTGGAGGCTGACCCACTCTCAAACATAGTCCGCAGACGTATTGCAGAAAGCTAGCGTTGGCAATTGCATGTGGTTCGCGGTTCGGTCTGAAACGCATTGAGATGGCTAAAAAAAAAAACTCGAAATAGTGGGTGCCCACATATTGAGTGTACCGGCAGGAAAGTGGCAGTCTCCATGGTTTCTTCTTCACTGCTTTTGCGCAAAAGAATTGACCCGTTTTTTGGACCGAATTGTCACCTGTGATGAAAAGGATCATGTATGATAACAGGAGACGTTCCGGACAGTGGTTGGATGCCGACGAACCACCGAGGCAATTTCCAAAGCCGAATCTTCACGAAAAAAAGATTATGGTCACAGTGTGGTGGTCATCGGCTGGTGTGATCACTATAACTTTTCTCGTCACGCCAAACTATCATCAGCAGAGTCCATAATGTGTAAGAAAAAATCGTCGTAACTTGTACCGTAAAATTGCGGTCGAGCTGCCAGCCAGCAGTTGGTCACAAAAGGGTCCGATTTCTTTTGCATGAGCAACGCCTGCCAAACGTCTCACATATTCCATCTTTATCCATAAATTGACGAATTCGGAGGGTTGGAAGTTCTACTTCAGCTGGCCTATTCTTTCAGACCTTGCAATACCGACTATCACCTTTTCAAACATTTTCAGAACTCCCTTGCTGGAAAATACTTCATCAATCAGGACCAGGCAAAAAAGCCTTCGTGGATTTCGTGAACTCTCGACCACCCAGTTTTTTTTTGATGGGATTTCTCGACTGCTGTCACATTGGCAAAAGTGTGCTGATTCGAATGGTGCTTATTTGGATTAAATCCGATGAGTGTTAAGAAAGTTATGATCGTTTAAAGTGAAACACTCGAAACGTGCAGAACTTTCCGGACAACCTAATACCAGTATATGATACGGTATATTATCTAGAATTACTGGAGGCGTTTCCCTGGGGGACTTCGATAAGGACATAGCCTACCTTAGCGCAAAAATTCCAAAGCTCTGATGAAGTAGGATGGTCGATAAAAGACTGATGAAAGGACAATGCTTGACGTTGAAAAGCAGGTCAAATCCGAACAGATCCCGGATCAGGCCCGCAAATTACCTACTCAGAATGGTGCAGGTCAAAGGTGGGGGAAGCTACGACAGTTTTCCTCTCTTTGCAGTGTGGCCCGTTTTGAACACTGGATCGCGTTCCTTGAGTGTCTATGTCGCGAACACAAGTGATTTACGCGCTATTCCCATAAGTATGTGTTCCTTCAAGCAAAGATGGTGAAGCGACTAGTAGCGCCGCTACCACATGTAAGGCCTGTGATCGAATTCCGTCCAGGCTAAACAAGCATAGCAGTGTCGGGTTCCTTCTCAAAAATCGAAAACTGGAGTTAGAATGAGGGTTTTGGGTCAGATTAGCTCCTTATAACGCATTTCGCGGTGCTTTGGCCCAGCGAAGGTCTCTCAGTGTACACATATCGCTGGCTCACCCATTCTCCTTAAACGGTTAGGAGGCGTAGCGCGCTACTGGGTAGATCCCATGATTTATGGGCGCCCTCCGCCCATAAATCAGCGTGAATTATGGCTTTTTTACTGGGATGATTTGTCTATTCTTTCGGTAAAAAACAGTTATAGGGAAAAAGATCTATACCTTGAAAGCTGTCATCAATGAAGTGAGAAGATTGGTTAGGTCTCCAGTGGCACTAGGATGTTTCCGTTGTTCTTGCAACACGAACCTTTGCAACGTCATGGAATCTGTCTCGATTCCATACGTTGTGTTGCCACTCATCTTCCTTCTGTATGAAACACAAACTTATAGGATCCACCATTAATGTAAAAAAAGAAAGTCTATTTATGTGAGCCAGTTTACAAAACTATATAGAAAAGTTCGCACGGGGGCGGGGTTGGGCAGTTCCTATGCCAAATATCTAATGCCTAGTCACAGATGCGAGCGGCCTCCTCTAATTGGATGCCCGTTCAGAGCTCGCATCGGAACGGCCTAACCACGCCCCTGACGTGAACTACACTTTGAATACAACATGTTAGCTGGCAATCATAGAGATTTTCTGTTGTTGTAACATGGAAGCATGAAATAATAGAGAAAAGTAGCAGAAGTTATCACCAACTCAACACTAAAGAATAATGCTTATTGTAATATCAGGAGGGAAACGAATAAAGGAGCAGCGATCGTGCGGTCTGAAGAGATGACGCCGAGTACGTTAGAAGAGGGATCGCATCAGGAAGAATGAAAGATCAAGCGAACCGTAGGTTCTACTGAGAATGCCGCAAAGAAGAAAAGAAAAGAAAGAAAAGAAGATTAAGAAAACTGTAAACACTACAAAGGGCGAGTCAGTCAGCAAACAGAAGATTTTATGTTTGTGAGACCAGCGCTGTCAAAATCACAGCCGTTCAAAAATATGGATAGGTTTTTCAAATCAGTACTGTAAAAAGGTACTAGAAAGCGGGAAGTACAAGTCTGAAAGTGTCTTTGAACGGCGCAACTGTTTTTATAATGTATACTGCTGTATAATTTGGTGTTGGTTAAATTTCACCAATCCCGCCATGCAGTCGAATTTCGTCAAGAATTGACGACTTAGCCTACCACACGCAGTTCAGTGATAGGCTCCTGTCGAGGACAAACAAACCTAGTGTCGCCTGCTTCCTTTTCGGAAAATGGGCACAAAAGTGATAAGTTACGCAGAAAGAGACAGTGGATCTGTACTTGGGTAAAAACTGTAGAGCCAAAACATGGGGCAAGAGAACAAAAGTCTCCAGTTTAACACGATGAGAGAGCAGGAGAGTTTTTTTTCTCAAATAGAACCGGATTTTTGATTTCCGTAACAGCTTTCTGCAGGCGTTCGCTTGGAAAACTCTGGCAGAATTTATAAGTTCAAGGTATATGTAGATATTCGAAGCGCAGTGAGCTTTCTATCATAAAACACTGAAGTTTAATTAATGACATGATCTGTCCGAGAGGAATAAGTTTCGGAGTGCGAACTGCGGTTTTAAACAGCAGTTATCATGAAGCAGCGAAACAGCGCTAACAGTATCAGCAATGACTGCGAACTATAGTTTCTTCCTGAACCTTAGGCTCGAGCGGCATTCGTGCATTTAAAGCCCCTCCTTCGGCCTCGCCCCCCCTCCCCCCCTCCCCCAATGCGTAGATGCCTAGCTTTCGGTGATCTCATTCCGGAATGTCCCCTTTCGAGGCACAACAAATCTCCATGCAGAGTACAGCATCGTTGGAAAAATACCATCGCGATAACGTGTTTAATCGCTGGAGAGATGAAGCTCGTACTTGTCGTATCTGGCATTTACAGAATTTCCTCTATGCCACGGAAAAATTTCTCCCGGTTATTGACTTTTCCGCGATTCTTCCCGTTTCACCTTGTGCTATATACTACGCATTGCTACTACTGCTGCTTATATGAAAGCACTATTTCTGATAGATGGATTGGGTGGCGCCACTGTCTCCCTCCCACCGCTCATCAAAAACGACTAGTGCGACAGCTCTCTGCAATGCATTCGGGTTTTCCACCTTGAATTTGTTTGTCAAACATCACATGGAAGGAAAACCTTTGTTTAGAGGCTTTCTTACAGTTGAAATCCCACTGGCAATGAAAGAAATTGTTTAGAAATGCATTCGCCTAACAATCGGTTCTTCTAACAATTAGGTAACTTAAGCGCGAGTACTGTAAAGGTATTTGTTGGTAATTTATGTATGTGCACATGCGCACCCTCGCCGTTCGCACTCACTCTTTTGTAATTTTTCCTTTCAATTTTAGCGATTTGATTTTTGACGAAGTTTAAGAAGCGGGGTCTCCAAAATGTAGCTGCAGTTACTTGGGTCCGATTCATCTGAGCCACTTCGTCCACCTTTCTCTTCAATTTTGACTAATTGGTGGTAAACTCGTCCGACAATAAGGGAAACTTTTACACCAACATTCCCTGACCGATACTGGTCATCGACCATTAGGCAGGATCATTATTACTCGAAACAACGGGGTGAGCTGTGGTTGCTTTTCAGTTATTTTCCCATGTTATTTCCCCGTTTCAGGCGCACCGTGCCCCCTCCGGCGCCACTCCTCCCCAAAACTGGTAAGAGGGTAGGCAGTCTGGGGAAGAAACGCTCCCGAAAATGAGGGGGGGGGGCTTAGCAGAAATTTCCCACAACGCGATGATGTGAACAGATTGACTGTGACTGACACTGACCACTTGGGATGTCTCGTCAATTCTGATGGAAGTTGGATGCATGCGCACTATAAAAATTGACAGTAGCTGACTATAATACCCCTCCGTCCCACACATTCATTCCAAGATTCCCTTGCGAAGAACCTATCACAAATTCCATTACCTAGTGGTTGTGTAAACAAGTTCTTATATGGGGACGAACGTTGAGCTGCACTTTCACAAAGGGCAAACTGCTTACTTCGAAATACACGCAGCCTACTCTGCCACGGAACTCCCCATGAAATTGCTCATGAACTGATAACGATCAGCTTTTTTTCGCCAGCGACACGAACACGTCATGTGAAACGGAACGATCGATAATTGGGCCAGAAGGGGGAAAAATTCAAAACAAAACATTCAACTTCGTATGTTTGCACTCATACCAGTGCTCTGCTCTCTAAGTCAACGTCCAAAGAGCATTTACTCATTTGCATGGGGCACCCGGACCGGTGTGTGGGCGCTGAGATTGCATATTTTTCATTGGGAATTCCTTATGGAGGGTGTGGGAACTCTAAAAAGAGGGCGACAGCATCAGAAACCCGAACTACGTGGGTCTCAAGAAGATTGGCTGAATGAAATTTCGTAATTTTATCTTCAAGAGGTACTACTTCTCGTCGTTGCCCTTGTAAAAGAAGTAATATAATCAATTCAGACTCGAAAATTTTTGTGTTTTTTTGCTGCATTATCCAGTTCAACATAATATGTGACCACGTTAAAAGGCTGCCGTACATATGGGATTACACAACACATTAAATGGAAACGTGAGAAATATGTGTGCTGCAAGGGAGTTATAATGGGGGTCAAATAACTTAAAAAAGCTGTGCAGTAGAAACAGCAAAGACTTGTAACAGCTGATTGATTGGCTTCAAATGGATAAAACCTGTAATTTAAACCTGGATCCAAGCAGAGGGTCTACGAAAAAGGCTGAGCCGGTTAAGTTAAACCAAGTTTTTGAAACGGAGCGAAGTGACCGACTTAGCGTCCAGTGTAACGAAGCGCCGCTGCCTGCCGGCACAAACGAAAATGAACAAACAACGAAAACAACTTCTATGGAAAATATTACGGCACAATTCGGGGTCGGAAGGTGGGTGGGAGTAGGAGGAAGTAAACAGTAGTACTCCCTTAAGGTACAAGTGAAAGTAACAACGCGGGGGTGGTCTCCTGCACCCACGGAGCAGAAAATCCCCAGGAAAAACGAGGGCCTTCCAAAGCGCTATAGCACCACAAGAATTTGAGAGCTATGGCAGCAAGCCGAAGAGTCCACCGGAAAAAAAAACTTTGTTCCTAAAAGTACAAGTTTATCCTTAGACTTCTTTGCGAATGCCAAGGTTTTTGAGTAGGTTACAACCTTCAATAGTCGTTAGTAAGGGCCCTAAATAAAGGTGTTTTTGAAAGGGAGTGCAGCAAGTTTTGATTGATTAGCTTGTCGGAAAGGGGCAAAGATTATTGGAGAAGGTGAATCGCGACAAATACACGTTTGTGGGCCTAGCGGGGAACATCGACAGATACACACATAATCGATGTCTGACCTTTCGCCGAAACACAATGTGCGTCAAAAAGTGTTCGTTAGCATACCAGTTGAGAGACGTGATCGCATCTACAAAATGTCAAATTTTTTATTGTATAGAAAAAATATCGCAATGTGGTCGAAAGCACTAGCAGCAGCGATTGATTGACCAATTCATCGCTGAAGAACGTCAAAAGCTGCTCAGCGCCCATGTGCATGTTGCTAAAGAACGACCACGTGCTACAAAGTACATTGCCCTAGCCGTGGTCAATTTGTCTAAGTGGGTGTTTTTTGCTAATCCACAAAGGATTCAATATGTTCTTTGAAAGCTATCTCACCGCGCTAGCTTTGGACCTTCACAATCGCGGCTTATACAATTTCACCAGGACTAAAACGTATTTACACAAGAAAAAAAAATTAATAACAAGGAAACTTGTATTGTATCATTGTCAATAAAGTCTCAAGGCATGTCACGAATATGTAACGTCAGCGACAGGTCATCTATCTCTCGACAGGTGCGACCAGTTCATACTTTATTACGAATCGGGAGTCGTTTTTCAGCAGCGCGACTACGTGCGACCGCAGTCCAATACATCAAACTGAAGATCTGTGCTGGCTGTGTCGGCAGCAGGGGACATCGTTGTTGGACAATCCCCGATAGGGGGGTGTCGCATTTGACCGCCAGGAGAAGAAGGGTCGTATTTGGGCTGAGAAAAATTTATTTCGATAGTGATTTTTCTCGCTTCACGGACGTTGTAAAGGGGAGTGGGTCGTACTTGCTCTCTGGCGTTCTGGGAGAGGTGCTGACTTTTCATGATTTTCCTGTTTCAGCGCTAGTGTACCCTCCCCCCCTCGAACCAAAATTTTTTGAGAAAAAAGTGGACAGAGGCTTTTGGGAATTCGGAAAAAAAATGGCAGGAAGTTGAGGAAAATCTGAGAATTAGTAGAACGGGGGGGTCGTATTGTCTCGCGGCTTTCTCTGTTTCACACGTGCTATTAACCCTTCCCCCCCTCTCCCTCGAAAGCTCGATTCGATGAGGAAGGACAAAGAGACGGGGGGTTGTACCAACTCGAAAAAAGGGGGTGGGGTGGGTCGTACGGAACTCGACCTAAAAATCCCAGAACGCAATGGATGTGCACTGGTCGGCAGAGCGGCTCCTCTCTGTGGAGTTCCCACTTGATTCCTTGGACAAGGAGAAGATGTAAAACACAGTTCTATTACTTCTGCGAGAACGAGGTTTGTAGGTGGAACTTTATTTGCGGCCTAACGTTTCGACCAGATCGTCGTCCTCAGAGGCCTGAACGTAGCTCAAGATTTTTAATTTGCTCTCTACACCGCCAAAAGCCTTGTTGCCCCCGCGTTTCCGACGGTACTTCCAGAAACAACCAAAAACCTCCCGAGTAAACACATACTGCAGCCGAGTCCACCGCGGCAAAATGAAGCCGGTCCAAACGCCGCTCCACTAGATGTTAGTAATGTAAGTGAGACACACCGTGCTGTCCTTGTGTAGTAGCTATCAGGACTTGCACATCTCACGGCTTACATCATTAACTCGCAATGTGGTGAAAACGGTAAGAGATCATTTGTTATGGCTAAACACTCATTTCGGTTATTCATCCTGGGATTCCTTGCGGAAATCCAGAATGCCTCTAGCGCTTTTCTGGCGGAGATCTCAGTCTCGTACGCTAGGATCCTGCACTTCACATCAAAATCGCTTCCGCGGTGCTCTTCGATTAGATGCTTCCCTAACGGTGTTGTTGTGTTACCACGCCTTTTACCAGCAAGATGTTCTTTGATACGTGTTGCCAGTGGCCTACCAGTCTCCCCAATGTATGTTGCATTACATGTCTGGCATTCGATTTGATAGATCACGCCAGCTTTGGCACAATCTCCTGCCTTTACCGTTAGGACATATAACAATGATCTGATATGCAGTGTCTGTCGTAGAGTCTGTTACGTACAAGCTGGCGCCTGATGCTGTCATTAGGGATGTTCACTAAGACCACATCATCCTCCAGCCCTGTCCGAGCCAAACATCTTCGAATAGCAGCACTTACATTATCAGATATGAACGGTATACATAAGGGGATCTTGTTTTAGCCAGTCTCACGTGGTAATGATGTAAGCCGTGAGATGTGCAAGTCCTGATAGCTACTACACAAGGACAGCACGGTGTGTCTCACTTACATTACTAACATCTAGTGGAGCGGCGTTGACCCGCTCATGCCGCGGTGGACTCGGTGAGTATGTTTTACATACGGGAGGTTTTTGGTTGTTTCTGGAAGTACCGTCGGAAACGCTGGGGCGACAAGGCGTTTGGCGAGGTATTGATTAGTAGAGCAAATTAAAAATCTTGAGCTACGTTCAGGCCTCTGAGGACGACGATCTGGTCGAAACGTTAGGCCGCAAATAAAGTTCCACCTACAAACCTCGTTCTCGCAGAAGTAATAGAACTTCAAAGTTACAACAATGCCGAGGTTATACGAAGAGAGAAGTTGGAGACTATTAAAAACACAGGCTTGTCGTACGATTAGGGTTCAAGCAAGGGCGTATTTGGTCACTGAGTGGAAGGAAAGGATCGTCAATCCGCCCTTATGGACAAAAAGTTTTGTTGCGGACTGGCTGAGTTTTCTCGGTTCACTCACCTGTTTTAAGTACGCCATATACCACCCACGCACCTCCGTGCTCGACGTCTGTTTTTTTAGGAGAAAATTTCGAAGAAAAACTGTTGAGAAAAAAAAATTGGAAAAGTGGTAGGGAGTCGAGAGAATTCGGGAGGGTGCTCTATGGAAAGGGATAGGTCGTCTAGTAGAAAACACGACGAGAGGTGGGAGTATTTATATGAAAATTTCTCACAACAGCAGCAGCGCTTCCTTATGTAGCCAGATGATCTCGAACGCGCCATCAACTCGAATTGGGCCTCTAAAGAGATTGAAAAAATTTATGATTATTGAGTCTGCAAACACCTTTGTTTGATCAGCTGAAGTACAACAGCCAGTACTACCAGCCCTAATTGCATATGGTATTGACCACCTCTCTCGCCTGGATCAACCAGCTACGCTATAGCTGCATCTCATATCGGAGGGCAAAAAAAGAGCGTTTCAACGACTGCTACGTATTTCGTACATGGTATGCCGACTTTCCTCTCTTATGTCTTCGTCTCAGCCTCTTTTCTGTCTCGTCATCTTCGTCAAACCTCGCTACGTCACTACGTTTGCAGCCACGTACTTCAATACGCCTCCTTTGCCATCAGGTACACTCCTTATCCCTGAGAAGAAGTAGGCGTGGCATTTGAACATTGCATAGATTGGGTTACTAGTGGGATCTATTAGTTTGAGACAAAACATTTCTTCTGTATGGATAGAGACATGACTACAAATATGCCATGATGAAAACAAATCGTCAGAAACACACTAGACACCACGTTCAATTGAAGTATGTAGCCACGCCTACCCCATCTCAGGGATTTCGAGGTATGTATAGTACGTAACATTGCAATTTGTCGGGGCGACAAACGCAGCGCGGCAGCTCTGCGAGCCCCGCCCCGACGGCCACACCCACTTGTCAGCGCGGGCATTTAATAGATTTTCAACACATGGCGACTCCGCCGCATTCTTTAAACACGTTGACGACGAGCAGTTTTTCCTCATGACTTGCTCCTGGGACGGCACATTTTTCTACACTGAAACTTAGTAATTTCCAAATAAATGAATTACTACGACCAAAATCTATCGAGAAATGCAAGAGACGAGTATAGCAATCTCGAATCTCTGACACAATTTAGCACTTATTGCACCAATCTTCCAAAATCAGGCCATTTTTTACAAAATTCTCCTTCTGAATAAAGAATGGAGCTGAAAAATTGCCTCCGGGAGTGTGATTGATCTCCTCAAAGAACAATCGCATCCTCGACCCGAAAATGTTTGTTCTTGAACTAATTTTATGAAAAGAAAGTGAAACAATCGCGCAGATCTTGAGTTATATAATAACTGTGGGACAGCATTGGGCGACGCCGTTCCACAAGACAAACTTTCTGTCGTCCACCATTGACGGAAATCGTCGTCCGCGTTTGAGTGGACATGATATTTTTGTTGAGGGGGTCGGTTCACCGGTAAGGGACAAGTTTTCAGGAAATTTGATGATCTATAGGACATTTTGGCGCGGGCGCTAGGCAGTTTTGTGGCAAGCGATTGTGATATTTGTGTTCAGGGGTCAAGCTAACCCACGAGACAAGTTTTCAGCGATTTTGGTGACCTAAGGTATTTTGGCGCCGGCGCCGGGCAGTCCGGGCCAAACCACTGTGCTGTTCGTTTCAGAATTTCAGCCTACTCCTATAGACATCTTTTGAACAAATTTGGTTGCTCGCACGTCTTTATTATTAGAGCAGTATGCTGTCGGACAGCATTGTCCGACACCGTCCCATGAGACAGACTGGCTGTCGCCCACCATTGTCCGACACCGTCGTCAACGTGTTAAAGGGTTTGTGGGCGAATTCCGCCGGATTTTCAATAAACTTTTCAACTTTTTGATTTCACATGCACTCTTTGCACAACGAAGGTACTCGTAGCCGTATACTCGTAATCATGCACCCGGCAATTCAGGCTCCTCCCTCTTAGGCCACGCCCACTTGCTTTTTGCGGAATTTTGATATTTTTCAAAATTTTTGCATTTTTGGACTGCTCCATGAAGCCCGCCCACTGTGAGAGGCTCCGCCCACTTTGAAGAAGCCCCGCCCACTTTTCAAAAATGGTGCAAATCGGCAGTATAGAGCCATGGCTTGCATGGCAAGGGTATTGCTGGTCATTAGGAATAAACTTCGCCTGATTTATTTGTTCCGAGTGCCCCGGTGCACCTTCGTTGTGGAGAGGAAGAGTGGATGTGAAATTAAAAATTGCAGAAGTTATGAAGACGTGAAGTTCGCAACAAACTTTAGAGATTGGACGGAGTCAATCATGTGTTGAAAACCTATGTCCACGCTGACAGCGTGACCGTCGGGGCAGGGTTCGCGGTGGTGTCTGGCGTGATTTGGTTGGTGAACTGCCTGGTCTAAGAAGAGTGGTGAATTTGGTTTGAAAAGTGGTGAATTTGCTTTGAAAAGTGGTGAATTTGGTTTGAAAAGTGGTGAATTTAAAGTGAAAATGTACAGTCCTCATCATTGCGGACCGGTGGGGCGTGTCAGCCAGTATGAGTGTGCACACTGTTGAAGCCGTTCTCAGCCTTTTTGTTGAAACGCGTATGCGACAAAAAGTGGTAGAAAACGAGTAATACGGAGGATATAATACAGTCATATCATTTGCTCGCTTTAAATACTGGTGGAGAGCGGGTTTGGCACCGCGCCAAACGCAGCCGCACTGAACCGCCCCGACAGTACGTAATGATGAGGACTGTATATATGGGTTGTCACTGCTCTGCTTGTGGGCGTGTTATTTTTCTAGTTGGCCAGTTTCTTTTACTAGTCACTATCTTACACATCTCACCTTACCTGTGGATTCTTGTCAAGTGTAAACGATGCTCGTACTGCATGGCTTTAGAGTGCTCACAGGAGGCAACCACATACAATGGTCGGGGAGAACCAGCATAATCCACCCATCAAGCCGAGCTCCGCTACATGCCCTCGCAGGCTATTTATCTTGAAGGAAAACAACGTGACCCAACGCTATTCTTCTCAAATTATAGAACACACATAGTCATGTAATTTGAACAGTTTTTATTGAACGGTATTCTACTGGATGGAGCGCTTAGTAGCAAGTGACCTCGAATTACCACAAACGCGGTCCAAGTGACAAGTTTCGAATCGAACTCCCGACCAGGTCGACGGGAGCTTCCGCCCTTCCGGGTTCAGGAAGCTGGTATCATACACGTCTGGGATGATAAAAGCAGGGACTTTCACTTGAATGGCTAGCGGCATGCCATTGGATAGGCCTAAGAGCATTTTGACCAGTAAGAATACGAGAGCGGTAGTAGAATACCTGTACATTCTCAGAAGGGACTGGTCGACGTGGAAAGCCCGCTCGATCATGCACCGAGATGAAGTCCTGCCTGAAGTGAAACCTCCCTCGACCCTTTTGTTGTTTTGAGCCGTACAAAATTTGTGTGATTAAATTGCTGACTTGCTTGAAAAATTCTGTCCTCAAGACGAATTCTGTCTTCAAGGGTCCAACAGACTGCTGACGCGAACTTTGAACTTCACCATCAACGCGCAGGGAGTTCATACCTTAAAGACACATTAGTACGCTCACACACATTGAGGGTGTATGAGACTACCAGCCCCCCAGCTGTCGATTTGTCGT